GCGTTTTATTAATTGCATCCTCAAAGGCTTACCTCCAGAAAAGCAAAGCCAAGGCAGTCTTGAAGGTAAGGCAACGCTCCTTTTCAAAGTCTGCTGGATCTTTCCTACCTGAGATGGTTTCTCTTGACACTGGGGATGCACAGGAAGGAAATCCAGACATCTTTCACTGGAGGTTATGGGGCTGGACTAACGTCACACGTTACTGGTTAAGTGTCGTCAAATAACCACTCCGTTATTGTGACCCAAATAGCTGGGCTGGATAGCTCAGGGGTTCAGATGTCCGGCTGTAGAGCCAGAGATTGGAATTTGATGACCCACGGTGAATCCTATAAGAAGAGCCAGCCCTGGTAGCTTTGGGCAAGCTGCCGAATCCCAGAAGAATGGAATGGGAAAGCGCTTCTGTGTACTTTTTTTTGCCTGGAAAACCCTGAAAAGGGTCACTGTAACTCACAACGGACTTGACAGCCTATGATTATTATTAAGGCTGGCGAGCCTGGTGAGTGAGGGCTCTGAATGCAGAGCCGGAGGTGAGAGGTTCTCCACGGTGCATTCCAGAAGAGCCAGCCTGGGTGGCCTTGGGCCAGCTGCATGAGTCCCGGAGCTGCCCCCCAGAAGAAGAGAATGGGAAATGACTTCTTTTCTCTACCTGGAAAAACCTTGAAAGGGGGTTGCCGGAAGTCAATATTCACCGAATGGGATGCAAGTATTATTAATAGGGCTTTTAAGGAAAACAAGATATTTAAGGAGTGGTTTTACCCATTCTGCTCCCCCAAGACATTTCCGTGGCCAAGTGCAGATTCAAACATTCATTCTGTCCACGACACCACAACGGGTACTGCTTCACATATTATCGGACAGCAAGTACGGGTTTGCTGCTCTGTATATTGCAGCACCCACCCACCTCCAGTTCTGTATGTCTGCAGAATCCATGTATTTGTTGCACTCAGATTTTACATTTTTTTTAAGGGGGGAAAATGTTGAACAGCCTCCCTTTGGCATCCTAAAGAGGAACAAGCTTTTTCTGGCATAAGGCTTTGCGAGCTGCCGTTGTGCGTGATTTTGCAAAAAACCAAAAACAAGCAACAATATTTTCTTCATCTTTGTGGTGGCACATGCTTACTTTCCCGTCAACAGACTAACACACAAGTACGATTAAAATAAAATAAATAAGTGTTGCAGGCCTGCTGATTTATAGTTTTGGAGGACCACTCCTAGAATTCCTCTCTTAAGTTGTGAATTTTTGCGCTATGAATTCTGGACTTTGAAGTCCAAAAATAACAAAATGGCATGCATCTAAAACGAGCTTTCTCGTGTTCCACAGATGCACGCGATATTGTCCTAGTGTTCCAAGATAAATAAAGGAGAGGGTTTGGGTTGGAATTGTTGTACAATATAGTCATCATGACTTATGGTGATTCTTTCCAGGGTTTTCTAGATCAAGAATACAGTTCTCAGAAGTGCTTTGCCCTTCCCTTCCTCTAGGGGCGCTGTGGGACGGTGCAGCTGGCCCAAGGCCACCCAGGCTGGCTCTTCTCCCGGAGGGGGGGGCTTCATCTATGGGGAGGCAGCAGTAGAGGGATCATCAAATTTCCCCCCCCCCCCAGTGAAGGAATCAAACTCCCAAACTCTGGCTCCACAGGCAGAAGTGACCTAAACCAATGAGCTATCCATGCAACATGATGCACAATATAGATCAGGTCAGAGGAAAGCAAAATGCATATTCTCGGGACAACTGGCTAATTGACACTGACTCTTGACCAAATGGCCGTGATAGGGTCTTGCCGGCTCACCATTGATCTCAGTATTATGAGCAATAATTCAGTGCCAGACTAGTGCTAATTAGATAATTGTCACCATAGCATCAGTCTTTAAAGTGCTAGAGGATTCTTTTGTTGTTGATGATGATGCCACAGGCATACCTGGTTACGCCTCTGGAAAAGAGGAATCTGTGAAGGGTCCTTAATTCTCAAGAAAGCTTCTGAATGAGGGCTGAGACTCTGGGAGATCCCAGGCTTCAAGGTTCACATTGCAGCATTTGCAAAGAGCATTCTGTTGTTGTTGTTTACTCGTGTCCAACTCTTCGTGACCCCCATCGACCAGAGCATGCCAGGTCCTCCTGTCTTCCACAGCCTCCCGGAGTGGGGTCAAATTCATGTTGGTCGCTTCGGTGACCATGTCCAGCTGTCTCGTCCTCTGTCGTCCCCTTCTCTCCTCTTGCCATCACCCTTTCTTAACATTAAAGTCTTTTCCAGGGAGTCTCCTCTTCTCATGAGATGGCCAAAGGATTGGAGCCTCAGCTTCAGGATCTGTCCTTCCAGTGAGCACTCAGGGTTGATTTCCTTTAGAATGGATAGGTTTTTTCTCCTTGCAGTCCAGGGGACTCTCAAAGGTCTCCTCCAGCACCACAATTCAAAAGCATCCATTCTTCGGCGGTCAGCCTTCTTTAGGGTCCAGCTCTCACTTCCATATATCGCTACAGGAAAAAACATAGCTTTGACTTTGCGAATCTTTGTTGGCAAGGTGAGGTCTCTGTTTTTTGAGATCTCTGCTTTTTAAGAAAGATGCTGTCTAGGTTTGTCATCGCTTTCCTCCCTGGAAGCGGGCGTCTTTTAATTTCGTGGCTGCTGTCCCCATCTGCAGTGATCATAGAGCCCAAGAAAGTAAAAATCTGTCACCGCCTCCATCTCTTCCCCTTCAATTTGCCAGGAGGTGATGGGACCAGTGGCCATGATTTTGGGGTTTTTTTGATGTTGAGCTTGGGATTCCTCCAGTCCGGCCTTTTACATGATGTATTCTAGTTACTCTTTAACCAACCTTGGAGAGACAGGGTTGCTGTCTGAACAGGAAGCAGAATGAACACTGAGCGACCCTGATGGCAAGGCTTTTCCAACAGAGAGCCAATGGTGGTGTAGTGTATAGAGCAGCAGACGAGAACACAGGAGAGCAGGCTCTCAATCCTTGAGTGGCCATGGGAACAGCGGTAGACTCGTCCTTAAACGTCTCACCTACCTTAAAAATCCTGTTAGGTTATTATAAGTTGGGTATGACTTGACAGCATGCAAGATAATATAACTTATCTAAATAACACAACTAGAAAACACACCAATCATGTCTTCTACTTTTCTTGGGGCATCCTCTGTTTGAAGGCCTCCTCTAATCGAATGGCTGCCTGGTCCAAAGTGATTTAAAATTTGAATGGCATCTTGAGTTGAAGATGATGATGATGATCATCATCATCATCTTCTGTGCTGGCTTGGGCTTTCTGGGAACTGCACTTCAAAAACACCTGAGGTAACAAAGGTTAAGAACCACTGGTGTAGCGTATAGAGCAGCAGACGAGAACAGAGGACAGCAGGGTCTCAATCCTTGAGTGGCCATGGGAACAGTGGTAGACTCGTCCTTAAACATCTCACCTACCTTAAAAATCCTGTTAGGTTATTATAAGTTGGGTATGACTTGACAGCATGCAAGATAATATAACTTATCTAAATAACACAACTAGAAAACACACCAATCATGTCTTCTACTTTTCTTGGGGCATCCTCTGTTTGAAGGCCTCCTCTAATCGAATGGCTGCCTGGTCCAAAGTGATTTAAAATTTGAATGGCATCTTGAGTTGAAGATGATGATGATGATCATCATCATCATCTTAGAACTGCAAAGCTGGAAGGGAGCTTGTGGGTCATCAAGTCCAAACCCCGTCAAGGAGGCACCGAAGGGGATTTGAACTCCCAACCATCCTCTCGCTCTGCAACCAGACACTGAAACCCCTGAGCTATCCAGTCATTCATTAAAGATCATCAGCATCTAAGAATACTGCAGTGCTGGAAGGGGCCCCGTGGATCATCAAGTCCAGCCCCTATGAAGGAAGCACGGGGGGGGATTGAACCCCCAACCTCTGGCTCCACAGCCACAGACGTAAAGATGTTCATCAACTGTCAGCATCCTGAAGTGAGAATGCTGATCCCTTGGTCACAACAGTGCCTCCCGTGATGAGACCCCTTGCATTTCTGTTTCAACCACAGCAATCATTTCTGAATTTGCACCAATATCTATGAAATAGCACATGCAAATGCTGCTCTCCCACACATGCCGCCACATAGGCAAACTGAACATTTGCTGAACGCAGTTACGTTCAGAGATACATAGTGGGTTTAGAGGTTGCATGACTTAAAAATAATACCCATAAAACAGACTCAGGAGGTAATAGAGGGAGGAAACAGTAATCGGGTTGATATCGATTTGAATGTGCCATTCTTTTTAGGATTAGTGGCAGAGGTGATATGGACACCCCAAAAAGGTTATGTGCAGACCCTTCCTAGTCTATAATTTGCTTAATTGTTCAATTAAATCCACACAGGCACCCGAGTCTTTTGAACTTTGTCTTGACCTCTTTCCCCTCAATTCTTCTGCCTCAATCCATTGTGCACGGGGGGGGGGTGTCTTCCTGCTTCCACAAACTGGACAGACTTTCCTGCTAAAAGCACACATAGACTTTTTTTTTGACTTTTATGAGTTTTCCTTCCATCTAACCCGGCTTTCCCCATTTCTCTCCCTTTCGCGAGAAAGCACGCTTTCGCCGAACGTGTACCACTGCGCAACCTCACGTCAGTGTTGGTGAACATTCCATAACGTCACATCGTCTCAAGCAAAGCCAGCCTTTGCAGGTATGGGCCTGCGGGTGGCAACCATCAGAACAGAGTTTGGGCGCTATGCATCCGTGTCTGGTCAGCTACCCTTCACAGCCCCGAGCAGTTCTCCTCGAACGCTTCTTCCTGCCTGAACAACTTCCTGCTCACCACCATCTTGAGAACGTTTTCATGTAGACCCCATTGGGTCATCATGACAGAAGCTGCAAGCAATTAGCAAAAAAGGCAACAACGATCACAGGTTTAGACCCTCTCCTTTTGGGTTTGAGCCCCTCTAATGGGGTTAGGATCCCCTCTTATTTCCTTCTTGATTCTTTCACTCTCATTCTTCCCACGTCACGGTGAACTCACCTTTATCCAGCACCGGCCCGAAGATGGCCAAGCTGTCGTTGATTGTGGTACAGTTCCACCTCCTCCCCCGGAACTGGTGCTGGCATTCCTGAATGCCGATCTTCACCCCTTCAGCGACGCTGGGCATGATCTCCACATAGTTCCGGCAGAACCGGAGTTGCTTGGGCACCAAGCCGGGGATACTGCCGCAGAGAATCGGCTGCGTTCCCAAAGAAGAATATTGATGTCCAATGGCCAAGGACCTGAGGGGGGCGAGAAAAATAAGAGGAAAGTGTGGTGGATCCTTTCTCAAAAGAAGGCACCGTCTAGCCAGGATTAATCTCCTCCCCAAAAGAACAGACCTCTTATCATTAATTACAAAAGTTTTCTCTTTTTTTAATATATAGCTTCCAGAATGTGAGAGCTGTGGGCTTATGGGAGGATTTCAATCCCCTGGGGGTTTATTCCCCCCCACTATGATTCCTGGTGGGGAGGAGACAGCCTGGGTAGCCTTGGGCAAGCTGCACAGGAGTCCCACAGCGCCCCTAGAGGAAGGGGAGGGGTAAAGCACTTCTGAGTACTTTCTATCTGAAAAAAACCCCCAAAAAAGGTTGCCATAAGTCGGAATGGACTCGACAGCACACATTTATCATTATCCCACAGCGCTCCTAGAGGAAGGGGAGGGTAAATTGCTTCTGAGTACTTTCTATCTGAAAAATAAACCCCAAAAAAGGTTGCAATAAGTCAGAATGGACTCGACAGCACACATTTATCATTTATTAGTATTAAAGTCCCAAAGAGTAACCCTTTCTCTCTGTTTTAATTCCTTGACACCCACCCACCCCCCAGCCTGACAATGCAAATCTGGAATTTCCCAGAGAAAGGTAATTTGGTCTGCCTTCTGTTAGATTTGATTT